GATGGAAATGTTTTAAAACGAGATGGTGATAATGGTTGTACAACTCTGTACACTTACTAAGTCATTGAGTTGAACACTTAAATGAACTTTAAGGTATGTAAACTGTGCCTCAATAAAACTATTAAAAAATCAGTGATGTAAAAAGGAGGAAGACAAGGGAGGCATAATTAGGTGACATTTGAATGTTGATATACCTGATTGTCCCTAAATTCTTCATGAAGCTATTGTTGAGCCTCTTCTTCATGTCCAGTCCTGGGTCTACAGTAACAGTCTCACAGAGCTCACCACATAGCAGGTCAAACAGGCAAACAAGCCACTGCATGGTAGGATACAGCCAAGGGCCAGCACAGCAGACAGAGGAGCACCATGCTGATCAGAGACGTCTTCATGAAGGTGACATCTAAACTGAGACCCTGAAGATTATTGCTGGGCAGCTAAGAGGGAAGAAGTGGCAATATCACAGTGACCTTCTGTGCCATGCTATAAATTTTAGGTTTTATGAACTGCAAAACTAGGGCATGGTGGCTCACACCTGTAATCTCAACACTTAGGGAGGTTTGCTTGAAGCCAGTTCAAGGCTGCAGTGAGCAATGCTGTGTACTGTTATTGTGAGTAGCAATAAAAAGCAGCAGTGCTGGACTTTGGGGTGAAACGGAGTGGGCTCTGCTGCTGGTCGTGAGGAGAAAGGAGTCCAAAGAATAGAAACAAAGAAAAAAAAATGGCAAGTCAGGCAGATGAGTCTAGCTTGACTTACCAGTACACTCTTCACCCATGGGGCTCTTTGGCTCTGGTCAAGGGGGCGTAGGTTACATGGAAAGGGCTGCTTTACTTTACAAGCATCTGGCCTTTCTCCCAAGAGAGAGACCCCCAAATAGTCTGGCTACATTTTTCAGCACAAACGCACCTCCTTTTACACTCTTTCCCTCGCTGCCCAGTCTGCTTTTCCAAGATCTATGACGGTGTTGGGAGGAACGCTGCTCCCTCCACAGGTGGAAGACACTGCTGCCCTTAGGCAGACTGGACTGTGACTGTGGAGATCTGGTCTCAATTTTTCACAATACCACAGGTTAGCTGGAGTCAGGCAAACTACTTGGCCCTTCTGAGGCAGTTTCTTTATGCCAAAATGTTACCTGCTCTGTGGGGATTACTGAGGACCACATAAGAATCAACCAACACAGAGTGTTTATATGTAAGACGTGTCCTGGGTGTGTGCGGGAGTGATATGCCTTCCAAAAACTTAAAAAAAAATAAAGTTGCCATCCAAGTCTCCCACAGACAAGAGTGACCACAAGCTGACTTTTGGAAAAGTGTGACTGAAGAGTTTCCCAACAGGCAAAACCACAGTAACCAGAGTGTAAACTTGGAGGGGCAGATCTGGAATGCAGCTGTATTTGGGGAAGCGGAAACTGAAGATGGGAGTATAGTTCTCACACGGAAGAGTGTGCAAATCACCAAGGAAACTTGCTCACTGAGCTGCACCACAGCCCTAGGGAACCTGTCTCTAGAGGGACTTAGGAACAAACCTGTGGTTTAAACATTTTCCAGTGACTTTTTGAGATGGAGTCTCGCTCTGTCACACAGGCTGGAGTGCAGTGATGCAATCTCGGCTCACTGCAGTCTCTACCTCTCGAGTTCAAGTGATTCTCCTGCCTCAGCCTCCTGAGTAGCTGGGATTACAGGCGCACACCACTTACACCCAGTTAATTTTTGTATTTTAGTGGAGACAGGGTTTCACCATGCTGGTCAGGCTGGTCTCAAACTCCTGACCTCATGATCCGCCTGCCTAGACCTCCCAAAGTGCTGGGATTACAGGTGTAAGCCAACTGTGCCTGGCCCTCTAGTGACTTTTATGTGCACAAGAGTTAAAGCACCTCTGGCCTACAGCATAAAAAAGGAGCTGGAGGTGCTGATTCCAGGCCATCAACAGGCAGCCACACTCCACTGGGGAACTCTGTGGAGTTTTAGGGCAGTGAATTGAGAAAAGGGGAAATCGAGAACAGGGGCAACCTGGTGCAGTCCTAAGGTGCAAATGAACTCATTGCATATTTTTCACCAGAAGTGACTCTCATAAAATAAACCCCTCCAAAGACTACTTTTGCTGTACATCTGGCTTTTCCCTTATTTTCACAGAAATATACCCACTTTGTCCAATATATTTTTTTTCAGTGAATCACAATAAAAAAAGATGTACTTCTAATATCTAAGAAATAAACCAAGAAAGAACAAGAGCTATTAGGAGTGTTCTCTTTCTTTATTTCTCTTTGGTTTCTTAACACAAGACATGCATTCTATAAATAAAAGGAAGTGAGATTTTCCGGGAAACAATAAATTGGGAGGAATTCCCATAGTCACACCTCTGTGGTCAAGTCAAGAGGCTGGACTTCAGCTCCTATCTGGCTGTAATCTCTGATGAAATCCAGAAGAAAAGGCCCGTGTGCGTGTTATCCAAGAAGGTGAAACACTCAAGGACAGTGAATGCCACAGTTCTCTGCTCAGAGCTGGGCTAGGCCCCAAGGCCCACTAAACACAACATCTACCCTATCTCCTTGTGATATCCTTTTCACAATATCCTTGCTACTTCTCATGGGGCTATTGGAAAGGCTCCAACACCAAAGAACCAGACCAGCCATTTACGAACAGCCATTCAGCATCAGACTGAGGAACCTACTGGGAGAGTGTGAATATGGCGGTGTTTGCTCACTTGTGCTCAGAGACCAGATCAAAACACTGGCTTGATCTTACTTTGAAACACTGATCTCAGGTGCAGCAGTGTAAATTCTATACCAGGAGGTGGGAATGGACTCAGGAAGGCCACTACAAGAGCAGCAGGCTATGGGAAAATAATCTACCATACCCAGTGGGAAAATCTGGGCCAGCATCCTAAGGACCCACTCAGCAGCCCACAGACAGATTCTTAACACCTTCACAATCCAGGCTTGCTGGTGCTGCTTCAAATTCACAAAAGAAAGGGGCTTACAATAAGACATGCACTGATACACTCCTAACAGGAAATGCACACCCCACCTGCCTTCTGAGTCCACCTCTACAGGCAAACCAGGAAGGAGGGAGAAATGCTGGAGCTCTACCACGAGCCCAGGTTAAATGACATCCATTATCAGATTGTTGAGACGTTAAAAATAAAAATATCATTTTCAAGTGCTTGTAGCAGAGACCCAGCTCCTAAGTTGCAGGTAACAAAGGTACTTCCCTCTGAGTACATGGCGATTGCACACACTGGTAAACCTGATGGCCCTGAGGTTGGGGAAGACACCCCAGGCTCCACATTGTGCCTTTCTGAACAGGCTTCCAGGCCACCCCAGGCAGGCAGCGAAGGACAGGAAACCAACCTGGTGGAGACTGGAGCCCTAAGACCCAGTCTTGGGTTACAGGAATTGCATCTTCTTTTAGTCTCTACTGGAAGAATTTTAGAAAACCAGATTTTGGCAGCAGCAGTTGAAGGACAGCCCCACTGCCCAGTGCACTGGTAAGAGAAAATGTCCTCCTCTTTCAGTCCCGCTGTGCTACATTAGGTCCCACGCAGGGAGAAGGAGGAAGCAGTATGGAGTTTTTCCAATAGGTAAAGATCATTTCCCAAGATTAGAGGAAGAAATATAAAATCTGTTCTTTGCAGCAGCAAGAGATTCTTTCGGCCTTTAGTTTTTTGTGTCATAAAAGCCAGCTGTGCTTGAATGTAAAGGTCCACCTTGCTGGTTAGTCTGCCCCAGGGCTGGAGGGAGGCCAGACCCTTGGGATTGGCGAGTGGATGGAGGAGCAATGGAGTGGCAGGGCAGACAAGGTTACGAGACCAAGCCAGCCCACAGCTGGTAGAAGGAAGCCCCTGGTTGGGTTCTAGAGGTGCAAATGGTCAATGTGCCCCAGAAGCATCCCAATGAGGGAAATCACCCAAGAACGAGATCGATGGGCAAATGAGAATCCGGCCAGACCTGCTGTTTCCTGCTGGTCAAAAAAGGGAGGAATGTCAGTGCAAGTGGGGAATCTGAATGAGCGCCATGGCACCAGTAGGAGGTAATCACAGGGGCATCTGGAACCCCCAGCCATAGCCAGGAGCCTCCACCAAGAAGAGTGGCAGTAATTCAGCAGACTGCTAACTCTCTACGCCTATGACTTTAAAAGTCCTCTGATGGTGGGTGTGAAGACAAACCCCATGAGCACCCAGCTCGATGCGATGCCTCAGGACCCTGGGATCCGAATGTGGAGCGGATACCGCCCTTCTCTGGTTAGACGGTTTTCCATTTAAACATAGATTTGCCCTTAGCGTCCTTTATGCATTTTTCTTCCTGCAAAATTTGTTCACATAAAAAAATTTTTTCTTTCCAGTTTCTTGGTTTAAATTTCCTTGTTTCTTTCAAGTATCTTTTTTTTTTTTTTCCCTTCTGTTCTCCTGGACAGATGGAAAAGGCCTCACTGAAATCCCAAAATTAGACATGGGGAAAACTTCTCTTCTTCCTGCTTACCCAGTGATGAGGACAGAATCCTTGGTGCCCTACTGTGAAGAAGGAACGTGCCTGTGTGCAGCAGCCCTCCACTGCTGTGGCCATACCATCTCAGGCAGGGAGAACACTTGGGTCTGTCCTTTCGCCCCCAGCTACATCCCAGTTTCCAGCAGGCTTGGACACTGCAGCCTCCCCATGGCAAACTGGCCAGAACTCGGTTGGAGAACAAGCAGGTGAAGAGGAGCAACAGATGGAAGGCCTTCTGTGAATGGCTGGCCAACAGAGCAGCAGTGGGTGGGAGTTGGGCCTGGATGGAGCTTGTGTTCGTGTGGACCAGCAGAACAGTTCCAGGTCACCAGCTACGGGACCCAAAGGAGCTTGTGTCCATGCTGTGCATCTTGATGACCCAGGCCTGAAGGTCACAAGGGTGGCACAGTGGTGGAGGGCTTAAGCACCTGGAAAAACTGTACCTCTGGCAAGCTCACATTTCACCCCATCTTCTGGTCCACTGCCTCTCCTGAGGGACTGTTACTGGAAGGAAGCGCCTATGTTTGTACCAGATCCCTGCCCCACCACATCCCATCCTCTGCCTTAGATGGTAAGGAGAGGGATGCAGCCCACACCGACCCCTCCTTCATGGCACGCCATGGGGGCCATGAACGTCCAGCGGTCTGTCTCCGGGTCGTACATCTCCACTGAGCTTAGGTTTGACTGTCCGTCATAGCCCCCCACAGCGTAGAGGCGCCCACAGCTGGCCACCAGGGAGACTCGGCTCCGGCGCGTGTGCATGGGGACTATCAGGCACCACTGGTCTGCCACGGAACTGTACATCTCAGCGATGCTGAGGAAGCCAGAGCCATCATAGCCCCCACAGACAAACATCTTGCTCCCCAGGGAGGCTGCTCCATGCCGGCAGCGCTTGTTGAGCATGCCAGCTGCAGGGTGCCAGGTGGCGGTGTGGTGGTTATAGTGCTCCACCTGTAGAAGGGGAGAGAGGCACAGGTACAGGACAGTCAGAGGCAAAGCTCAGTCCATGGAATGACCGTGCAGGGCACAGTAGCCCCCATGATGTCAGACATGGGGATGAGGAGCTCTGCCAGTGTCCCCTCTGCTGCAGGCCTGCTCCTGGATATATGGGGGCAGGGAGAGGTCACCTCACCTGACCCTGTCTATTTGCATCTAAGGAAACAAAAAAAGGATGTGCCCAAGGATGCACTGCTAGGTAGTGACAGATCCTGTATGAGAACTGGGTCTCCTGGAAACTCCAGGGGTTTCTACTGCGGCACTGACTAGTAAATGGCTGTTGAGCCTTTTTTTACAGAATAAATGCAATTTTAGACAAATTATCCAGAGGAATACAACTGTTTGCAAATTTGTGCTTGGTCTATAATTGAGCTTACTTTGGGCAGGAATCTCACAAAGTCTATGTAGCATTCAACAGACAGTTGAACAGGTGGTGGTGGGGGTTGTACATGTGACTACCTTTCACGCTTCCTTTGTGTACACTGGCTCATTATCTGGAAGTTCAGAATTTCAGAAGATGCAGTGGATGGCCTGAAACCTCAGTAGATGATACGATCCAGCTATGGTAAGGCTGAAGTTTTTTCAAATAATTATCTTCCAAAATAAATCTCAAAGATGGAAGGAGCAGGTGCCCTTAGCCCAGGGGGAGCCCAGACTCACACTGTTGAAGATCTGCAAGCCATCATGGCCGCCCGACACATATATCCTGCCCTCAAAGACCGTAACCCCAGCAGCACTGCGATTCGAGCTCATCGGGGTCACGACTGTCCACCTTCAGGAAAAAGTCAATAGGAAGGAAGCATGAGATTCAGGGTTCCTATCTTCCCATGGCAGCTTAGTAGGGGGATTCAGGTGAACTGTGCTGGCCATCTCCTTACCTCTTACCACCTCTCTGACAGCTCTCTCTGGCTGCCACCTCTCATCCAAGCTGCAAACCCACAGCCTGTCTTCTCTGCTCATCTCCATGGCTGCTCAAAATCATTGTCTCACACAAGGCCTCTTTCTCCTATAGTTCTGCCCCTCCCTGCCTTGTTAACGGGACCACCAGCTGTCTAGCTGCTGTACTTACAAAGCTCAGTGCTACTCTGGTTGCTTCTCCCTCGCTGTCAACATTCCTATGGTCCCCCAAGTTCTGGCTGGTTTGCTTCCTAGTCAGTGCTTGTTCCCATCCCCACTACCAGTGCCCTACCCCTGACTTCTCACCTGGAGCACTGTGACAGCCTCTGCACAGGCAGCCTGGCTTTCACACCAGTCCCATCCGACCCCACCCTGCCAGAGGGACTGCTTCTCCTTTACCTGTACCATGTCCTCCTGTGGCTCCTCACTGTCTTCTCTAAGATAGTCCAGGTTCCTTCAAGTGGTTTTTTCATCTTTTTAAATTTTTGAGACAGGGTCTTACTCTGTCACCCAGGCTGGAGTGTAGTGGTGCAATCATAGCTCATTGCAGCTTTGACCTCCCAGGATCAAGCCATCTTCCCACCTCAGCCTTCTCAGTAGCTGGGACTACAGGCTCATGCCACCATGCCTGGCTAATTTTTCTCTTTTTTTGTAGAGGCAGGGTCTCCCTGTGTTGTCTAGGGTGGTCTCAAGTGACCTTCTTGTCTCAGTCTCCCAAAGTGTTGGGATTATAGGTGTGAGCCACTGTGCCTGGCCCTTCATGTGGTTCTTTACCTCTTGGTCCTCATCCACCCTTTAGCTTCACCCCAAACCACATGCCACCCACCTGGCTCTGTCTCCTATCTATGTGCTGTGCTCTAGCCCACAAGAGGATCACTGCTGAACATTCACTGTGATTCTTGATCACAGTGAACACTTTCTTACTGCAGGCTCTCCGTGCTGTCTCCCTGCCTATGATGTGCAAGCACCTCCCACTGGCTATCCATGACAGGTCTCATATCGGAAGACATCCCTGATACCCTGTCCTTTCCTGCAACCCTGGGGAAGACGAAGGTTCTCTCTGCTCTGTGCCCAAGAGCTTCTGACACAGGCCTCCAGGGTAGAACGATCATGATGCAACCCATAGCCCAACCACACTGGATGCTTTAAAGGATCTCAGACACCCAGCTTGCTGTCTGATCCATAGTAGACTGGCTAAGTGAACAGAATACTGGTTTAAAGGCATCCTAAGGAGTCCATTCAACTAATTTGCTTACATTTTATTATATAAGATAAGAGGATTCAAATACTGAAATGAAAAACTTGGGCTGGCCAGGTGCTGTGGCTCAAGCCTGTAATCCCAGCACTTTAGGAGGCCGAGGCAAGTGGATCACCTGAGGTCAGGAGTTTGAGACCAGCCTGGCCAACATGGTAAAACCCCGTCTTTAAAAAAAAAAGAAAAAAGAAAAAGAAAAACTCAGGCTAACCTTGTCAATGTTTTTCAAAGCGTGTTCCACAAATGAGTCCCACAAGATGGCAACTGGTGTGTATATAAAACCCGAGGTTAAACAGAGTTATTCACTGCAGGGTTTCTTAGAGCGTTTAAAATGTTAATACATCTTATAGAAAGACAAGGACTCTGGCAGTTCAGACATCAACATTTCCCAAGCCTATCTGACCACAGATCTTAAAACTTTTTTTTTTTTTTCCAAATCATATCTTATCTACTTTGGATCATGCTGTTCATCTACTTCTTATCCCCTCTTGCCTGTTTTTCCATTAAAATGGGCTGATTTAGCTAACAGGTACAGAGTAAGACCCTGTTTCAAATAAATATTTCCAAGCATTTATGTAGACTATTTGTTTTAAAATTTTATTTACTCATTCTTTCACTTAACTAAGGGTTATTATACATCTACTAAAGTACTATAGAGGTAAAAAGGCAAGACATTCTCTACCTTCAAGAAGTTTAAATAAAAAAACTCCAGTTCTAATTTTGATACTCTGTTTATAAGCTCCGGTTGCCCCAGGGGAGCTGGAGTTCTTACTTGTCTGTCTCAGGTGAGTAGGTCTCCACGGAGCTGAGGGAAGAGTTGCCGTCGTAGCCCCCACAGACGTAGATCTGCCCGTCCAGCACGACTGTCCCCATGGCACTGAAACAGACAGAGCTGTCATCCCAGATGAGCCGCAGCCTTCCCGGAGCAGCCTCTCTTGCCCACTGAGAAACAAATCTATCAATTGCCTCTTTCTGCAACCCAAATCTCAGGCATGTGACTAAGTAAAGTCATAAAACTGAGGTGACAGAAGCTGCCCCATGGTCCCTCTTGTACCCCACACTTCTTCCTCAGGCTGCCTCCCCTCCCTGCTCTTCTTGACCTCATTCTGTCTAAAATGCTCACCTTCTACCTCACCATGTGAAGGTTGCATTTACCTTGAAGGCCCAACTCAACTTCCTCACTCCTCTTCCTCCCCTCAGTAAGAATTACTCTTTCTCATCCCCACACTCTCTGAGTGGCTTCTTTATTACAGCAGTTGTTACAATCATTCATTCATCCAGCCATCAGATCTTTATCAGCTGGGGTTTACAGTGGTAAGTAAGCCAAAGTTCCAGCCCACAAGGCACTTACGTTCTGGCCTCTAGGCTACCAGGAATCTGTCACTTTCTCTGTGTGTGTGTGTGTGTGTAATTTTTAATCAGAGCCTTGCTCTGTCACTCAGGCTAGAGTGCAGTGGTGCCATCATAGCTCACTGTGCCTTGAACTCCTATGCTCAAGTGATCTTCCCGCCCCACCTCAGCCTCCCAAGTAGCTGGGATTACAGGTGTGCACCACCACACCCAGCTAATTTTTGCATTTTTAGTAGAGATGGGGTTTCACCATGTTGGCCAGGCTGGTCTCAGACTCCTGACCTCAGGTGATCTGCCCTCCTCAGCCTCCCCAAGTGCTGGGATTACAGGCGTGAGTCACCACGCCCAGCTTACTTCCACCTTTTAAAGTGTACTAGTAATCAAACTAATCCACAGAATGTCCCTTGCAGGGACATGATAACAGACTCCCTGAACCAGCCCAAAAGAGGAGAGAAACTTGCCTTAGGCAAGTACTGTGGGAAGATCACAAATTTACTAGATGTGATTACTGTCCTTCTGGATACAGACACAAAACAAACATAAACATTACATAACAAAACAAAACAGGTGTCCAGCAATATGAGAATTAATTAAGAGGTGCCACAAAACTGCATGAGATTATCAACTAGGTGGTAAAGGTAGGTATGAAGAGGGGAGAAAACGCTGATCAGCGTGGACTGGAACAGTCCAGCGTAAGAAAGCTCCACGGGATGGCGCAGAACACTCGCAGAGATGGAAAGGAAAGATGGCAGGATGTCACTAACTGGCAGGACAGACAGTTGTGTGGGACGTCAGGAGAGAAGTGACTAGGAACGTTTTAAAGTAGCCTATAATTTAAAAGGGATGTAATGGAACCAGGCCCACACTAATAACAGGGTAGTAACCACAGTGAAGGAAAGAAATACCCAGAGGACTTTCCTCCAAGACAGCACTCTGAATCCAGTGACATCAAAGCAAGGAAGTGGCCCAGAGCAGACACACAAGGAAGGACAGCTGATTGTAGTCAAAGCAAAAAAGCTACTCATGTCGGGGACATGGAGCAATGAGTCACTCAATCATAGGAAGCTGCAAAGTATCCAAGGAGCAAAAGTGGGGATGGTTGGAGGAAAGGACTCTCAATATGTTCTTGGGAGGGGCAGATCTTAAGTATCACATTTTTTCTTCCCAAAGGAACCTACTCCGATGCTTTGTGAATTGCTCTCATGAGTACAAAGGCAGATCCCTTCCAGCTCACATCCACATGTGAATGCTGCTAGATGTGGAACGTGGGTATGGCGGCCAGTACTTTTCTGTGGCAAAGGACTTCCACGCTACCTCTTCTTCCTCATCACACATGTGCTTGCTCGACTGTCCCTCCCTTCAACTGCCCTCCACCCCAGTCACATGATCTTTTAAGTAGAGACCCTGAAGCATGGCCAGTGAAGGGGTCTGTGAGGCAAATACTGAGATCACGGAATTAAATGCAAGAAAGGCCCTTAAAGAGCAACTGGTCCAGTGGTTTCCAAACTGCCCCTTTAAAAAAATTCATGTAATTTCCCCCTCTAACATTAGGTATATGTCATGGAAGCTCAGTGTATAAAAGTGATCAATGCAGAGCTGTCCTGAGTGTTGGGCAAGGGGACCCTGGGCTGCTTTCCTCTCCCCGCCTTGGGCAGTGCCAGCCTTTCCACTGCCCACGCATGTGACGACTCCAATATGTGTCTTGACATAATGAAACATGCCACCTGTCACCTCAGCATTAAGAAGGCTAAACATAGGCATTGGGATGTCCTCTAATCCCACTTCTTATTCAGGCAATATAAGCAGAAAAGTGGTAGAGGAGGCAGGTAGCTAGAATGTGCTGAGTGACATGAAACTTGGCCCATCTTACAAATACCTATGTGCTCCTGTCTGGTAGAATGTGTGTGACCCGAAGAAGAGAACACTGCTTTGGTTCATATTCTCCCAGAGTAGTGGAAGCACATGTGTGAGGGGAGTCCTAGGGAAGGAAAGTATCCAGAAAAACACCTTGGATTTCCTTTTATCACTAATAAAGGTAAATCCTCCTTATTCTTCAAGTTTCAACTTTAATCCCACCTCTTCCCTGAAATCTTCCAGACGTTCCAGTCCAGTTTCTCTCCCACCTCGAATCTTCCAAAATACACATTTTCAGTCCTTATCTGGCACTTAAAATAACAACACAACTTCCACATGTCCAGGTCTGGTCTCCCCAGGTTCCTCAAAGGACAAGGTGGGTATTTTACTTTTAAGAAGATGGGGGCTTGCTCCCAGGAGGTACTGGCAGTGGCTGGCCTGGCTGCAGGAAGCTCCCAGGCCAAAGCTTGTGTTTTACTTTACTGTGTGCCCCTGCTCGTCTAGCACGGTGCTCCCCAGGTGCTCAGTGTGTATGTTCGGGCTGCACGTGGCTTCCAGAATACCTTCTCTTGCTATTCATGCTCCCCACTCTGGTCCATGTGTCTGTCTCCGGGTTGTAGGCCTCCACAGTGCTCAGCCGTAGCTGGCCGTCATATCCTCCAATGGCATACAGAAGCCCGTTCACCACAGCCACGCCAACGCGGCTGCGGGCTGTTGTCATAGGACGGCACTTCTCCCAGCGATTGGCAATGGGATCGAACACTTCCACCACATTCAGGGAATCACCTGCATAAAAATTTGCTACTCAAATTAAAACAAATGAGACCACTTGTTTAGATCACAGCTATTGGGCATTGATTATATGGAACATTTGACTCAATTCTATTACCTCTTCCCACAGAATTACTCAAGGCACAAGGTCCCACTAAGAAATTTCAGCCATGATCACCTCAAACCTAATTCTTTAAAGAAAATTAGAATCGGACAGGAGGTATTTATTTTTTAGAGAGGGTAGTTTTCAGTTACAATTAGGTACTCCACCTACTTAAAGCCAAAGGTATAGACAAATCAATAGAATATTTCCTCCAGGCAGGAGGCATGCCAGAAGGCCAGGCATGTGCTCCAGTGCTTTCATTTGCTAGTGAGTGACCCAAGCCAAGGGGCTTTGTGTCCCTATCCTCTGCTTCACAGGTGAAATGGAGATAATCCTTATGGATTAAATGATATAACAGGTAAAGCACCTAGCATGGCTCTAGAATATACTTAGTACTTAATAAATAGTCACAGTAGCAAGAAATGCTCATTCCAACCCTCCCTTTTTCATCAGGTTTTTGTGATGATCAGACAAAATAACCCCCTCTTCCTATGGTATGCTGCTAGGGGGCACTTAGCCTCATACCGTATTTGCATGCTACTCCAGCGTGCACTGAATTGAGGACTTACCTGTTCCAGGCCTTATGGTAAACAAGCAGCAGCTAGTACCCAATTCTCATTAACTTTCAATTAAAAACAAAACTGGGCTGGGCACAGTGGCTCACACCTATAATCCCAGCACTTTGGGAGGCCAAGGCAGGCAGATCACTTGAGGTCAGGAATTCAATATCAGCTTGGCCAACATGGTGAAACCCCATCTCTATTAAAAATACAAAAATCAGCTGGGCGTGGTAGCAAGTGCCTGTAGTCCCAGCTACTCAGGAGACTAAGGTGGGAGAATCACCTGAATCCAGGAGGTGGAGATTGCAGTGAGCTGAGATCCCACCACTGCACTCCAGCCTGGGTGACAGGAGTGAGACTCCACCTCAAAAAAAGTAAAAACAATAAAAAATAAAAACAAAACTGCCCGGGAGTGCCCACCAACTCCCCCCAGGTGGGGAGACCATGCAGCTTTCTGTAAACCTCACTACATGATTCAAAAACTGCCAATAACACATGGACTGTAAAGTATATGTGTTTCACAGTGGGTGGGGCTGAAGAGTAAAAAGTACTATTGATAGTGGTAGGCGCTGTGTATTTGGAAAATCTTTCTCTTGGGGACATTCTCACAGTCTAACCCCAGAGATCCATATGACCAAATTTGAATAGCCTGGTATGGAATTGGGTCTCTGACCATATCTTATCCAGGGCTGATAGGATGCTATACCATAGCCAATGTGATATTAGGGTGAAAGTGCTGGCTCAGGAACCAGAACACCCAAGTTCTAGTCCTTGCTCTGCCAAAAGCAACTTGCATGAACATAGTGGAAGTTCTGCGGGCCTCAATTTCCTCACTTGTCAGGTGAGTAGGCTAGGGATAAAAGATTTCTAGAAGGTCTTGTGAGCACTGATATTCTGATTCAATGGCATGAACATATGACATGTTCTAACTGTAGAGCAATTATATAAAATCATGAGGGGCAAGGGTGGTGACAGCGCAAAACAATAAAACCAGAAGGGTCAGGCTAATTTGTGTGGTGCTTCCTCACCCATGGAGTCCAAGAAGGGGCTTTCTAAAGGGGAGCTGCAAGATACCTGCTGAGTTGAGGCCTCCTACAGCATAGATAAGCCCAGCGATGGATGTGCAGCAGCGCGGCCGGGTCCTGAAAGCCGGCAGGTGCGGCCGGCGCTCTGGCATGAGGTGGTAGTCCTTTGCTTCGTCTACCAGGTCCCTGGAATAACGTGCAAGATGCTAGAACAGGAGGTATCCCCCCTGACTTAGTCCTCATTTGCATCTCTGAGCCTGGCTCCCCACTATCAACTGCAGGGGAAACATGGGAGGAGAAGCCTCTGGAAGGTTTGGTCTCAAAGAAACCAGGTGAGTTCTGGGAAAATCATACATGGCTATTGAGACATATTCAAAATTGAAGGGGCAAGACAAGCACAGACCACCTCAACTAGTGTAATCAGATATAGACTAGGCATAAGAAAAACAGGGTGGTGGCCAAAATGGCTGGGCTTGGGAGTTCCAATAAGCAGCATGCACCCTGTTGCATTCAGACCTAGCCCTTCCTTTCCATCCTTATGACTGCATTGTGGCTTTGCAACCTGCAGTTAATCACCACTCACCTGCACGGTGGCAGCTCCTAACACATTTCCCTGCCTCCAGCCTGCTTCTCCATTCCACTTCCACACTACAGTGCAAGCTAAGAACCTTCAATAGCCACCCACTGCCAACAGAATAAAGTCCTAACTCCTCAACAGCACCCTTGAGACTGCTGGTCACAGGTCCCCAGCTACCTCCAGCCACAACTCCAACCCGTCCTGACACACACCTTCACACCATCTGCCACAGACAGGCACTGATTTCCTCCTGAATCAGCTGATCCCAACCAGGAGTTGGAAAATGAAGGAGAGCTGAATATGCGTAAAATTTTTATCAGCAAAGAAGAAAAAAAATATTTCAGGGTTGTGAATTTGCCAAGCAATCTGGAGAGAATGGACATTTTTCTCTGCTGTTCCACTTTTACAGCAATAGTCCTATAGGGCTGCCATCTTCTGAACTGTGGGTAGCTCTGCTGTGCCATGTTGTTATTGATTTACTCTGGGTAAAAGTTTCAAGTGTCGGTAAACATGTTCACCCCTTGCCCATCATTGCAGATATAAAGCCTACACCTGCCAGAGTCCCCCACGCCCAGGGTACTGACTAATATTTACTGAAAAGGGCAAGGAACCCCAAGAAGTCCCAGTTGCACCATTGAGTGAGCTGCTGGTGTGGATAGGGTCAGGGAAGGCAGTAAAGATGCTTGCACATTCATAAATAGCTCAGTGGACAAAGATGCTGGAAAATCCTGAGATAACTCAGCAGGGGAAAGCCCTTTCTGCTCTGATGCTCCCACATGGCACATCTCTCTGCCCAAGGCGTAAGATTCGGGCTCTTAACACTTCCTCTTCCAGCTCCTAGACAGAGGGCAATCTGTGTGCCATGAATTAGACTGACCACTCCTTTCCCTCCCGAAATGGAACAGGCGGCCAGCTCCTCCTCCCTGCTTAGACCTTCGGCAGTGTTAGGTGCAGGTCCACCCTCACTCACCTGCATTTGTGGCAGCAACGCACCAGGTCATCCTGCTGTACTCGGTCTGAAAGGAACTGGGGCCGGCAGAGGGGCAGGCGGATATTGGACAGCAGCTCAGGCAGGTAGGGACCCCTCTGCTCCCGGTCATATCTGACCCAGGCCAATGCAGCTTCAAAGACCTGTCATGACAGAGTGGATGCTCTGGCAGCAAATCCTCCCACCCAGGGGCCATACCCTAGGCCTCCAATCTCAATGCCTCCACTTTCTATACTGAAGCATTCCCTTGGGCCCATCAATCTTTCCTCCTACTTGTCTCTGAAATCCTGATTTCTCTCTACTTCCTAGGCTACTAGAAGAGCTTCCTGACTTTCATTATGATTATGATTTCCTAGTGAAAAACCATCAATGGCATCTTATTCCTTTCTGTCAAAACAAAATGCCTGATTCCCTTCCTGCTACCCTTGCACCCCTGCTCCCTCTAAACTCCATCACCCTCTTTGCACTCTAGCAAGGGTGCGCTGGTTCTACTGTTCACACTGTCCCCCCTCACTTAAAATGCCCTCTCATCTCCTCCTCTTCATCTAAACCCACACCCCTATCTTTAAGGCCTGGCTCTAGATCCATGTTTTCCAAGAAGCCTTTCCTAATGGCTCCAACCACAACGATATCTCCCTCTAAAGCTCTATAGCCCTCATAAAATGTATCACTCAAAGAAATGTGAGCTGCTGCCCCCATCATATTAATTAGTGTAAGAGCTAGGGACAGGACACCTAGTTCTTGGAATGAGGACTTTTCCTCTAAATCACAGTGTCTATGCTGCCGAGCCCAGGGTCTACTTTTCTACCAGGCTCCTATCAAGCCCTCTTCACCTCCCTAGCATCCCCCTTTCCTAGAGGAAAGAGGAAAATGAATCGTATCTTTTAATTCCTCCTCAAATTTCTTTTTTTCTTTTTTTTTTGTGGAGATAGGGTCTTACCCCATTGCCCAGGCTGGAGTGCAGTGGTGCAATTTCAGCTCACTACAACCTCTGCCTCCTGGTTCAAGCGATCCTCCTGCCTCAGGCCCCCAAGTAGCTGGGATTACAGGCCAGGAGTTCAAGCTTGACCACTGCCAGCTAACTTTTGTGCTTTTAGTAGAGATGGGGTTTTACCATGTTGCCCAGGCTGGTCTCAAACTCCTGAGCTCAAGGAATCTGCCCATCTTGGACTCTCAAAGTGCTAGGATTACAGGCATGAGCCACTGCTCCCAGCCTCCTTACATTTCTAACACTCCTCCCTCATTCTCACTCTCAGGTGAGAAAACAGAAACAATTCAGAAGAGAATGTCAGTAAGAATCCACCTGTCTCCCCTCCCTGGGCGTGTGCCCCCAGCTCTCCCTCCTGCTACTGGGGATGTGGATAGCTTGTGCTCCTATCAAAGATGCACACCCTTATCCTCTAGACTATTCTCACTTATTTCTTGTTGGAACATCATTCCAACAACTGTTCTCCCATTTCTCCAACATTATCAATTCTTCCCTTTCTTCTGGAAAATTCCCATCAGCAGTCAAATATGCTGTAATTTCTCTCACCTTAAAAAAAAAAATGGCCAGGCTGGGCGTGGTGGCTCATGCCTGTAATCCCAGAACTTTGGGAGGCCGAGGTGGGCAGATCATCTGAGGTTGGGAGTTCAATACCAGTCCAGCCAACATAGTGAAACCCAGTCTCTATGAAAAATACAAAAATTAGCTGGGTGTGATGGTAGGCACCTATAATCCAGCTACTTGGGAAGGTGAGGCAGGAGGATCACTTGAACCTCGGAGGCGGAGGCTGCAGTGAGCCAAGATCATGCCACTACACTCCAGCCTGGGTGACAGTGAGACTCTGTCTCTCTTACACACACACACACACACACACACACACACACACACACACGGCCTGGCATGATGGCTCATGCCTGTAATCCCCAGCACTTTGGGAGGCTGAGGTAAATGGATCACTCGAGGCCAGAAGTTCAAGACCTGGCTAACATGGTGAAACCCTGTCTCTACTAAAAATACAACAATTTGCTGGGCGTGGTAGTGGGCGCTTGTTATCACAGCTACTTGGGAGGCTGAGGCAGGAGAATCACTTGAACTCAGGAGGCAAAGAGGTTGCAGTGAGCTGAGAATGTGCCACTGCACTCCAGCCTGCCTGAGTGTCGGAGCCAGACTGTCTCAAAAACAAACAAACAAACAAATAACCCCTTTTGATTTTATAGACTCCTCCCACAACTGCCCCAATGTTCTGCTCTTTCTTAGAACAAGACTCTTTCAAAAAGTTATCTATATACTTAGCCAGGCACAGTGGCTCACACTTGTAATCCCAGCACTTTGGGAGGCCAAGGTGGGCAGGTCATTTGAGGTCAGGAATTTGAGACCAGCCTGGCCAACATGGTGAAACACTGTCTCTACTAAAAGTACAAAAATTATCCTGGCGTGGTGGTGCACGCCTGTAATCTCAGCTACTTGGGAGGTTGAGGCAGGAGAATTGCTTGAATCTGGGAGACAGAGATTGCAGTGAGCCGAGATCTTGCCACTGCACTCCAGCTTGGGCGATGGAGTGAGACTTGGTCTTAAAAAAACAACAAAAAATTATCTATACTTGCTATTTCTGGTTCACAGCAGCATTATTTCTAACAGTAAATATTGGAAACAACCCAAACATGCAAGAATAAGGTGAGTAGGTTTGATAAAAATCAACAGAACACTATTTAGAACCCTAAAATGTATAAAGGCCAGGTGTGGTGGCTCACACCTATAATCCCAGCACTTTGGGAGGTCGAGGTGGGACGATCTCTTCAGGACAGTAGTTCAAGACCAGTCTGGGCAACATTTGTCTCTATAAAAAATACAAAAATTAGCTGGATGTGGTGGTGTGTGCCTGTAGTTGCAGCTACCTGGGAGGCTAAGGTGGGAGGATGAGCCTGCAGTGAGCTATGATCTTGCTACTGCACTCCAGCCTAGGTGACAGAACAAGATCTTGTCTCAAAAAAATAAATAAAACACACAGAAGGTTTCATGAAAAATGCAAGATACAGTAAAACAAGCCCCATGATATACAACGGTCACATACATGTCATCTTAATTTTGTAAAAAAATAAAACAATGATTATAAAGAGCAGCATCTCATGTCACCTGCGCAGACTGCTACTGTGCTCACATACCTGCTCCTCAGATTTTACATTCAGCTCATCCCGAGACACCAGCTCAAGCACATCTTCCAGGGGCAGGGCCAGGAACTCTTCCGACATGGACACCTCCACAAAGTGCTGGTGGATGAAGCTGTTGGCAGCATCGTACAGCACAGCACACATCATTGTCTCAGCAAACTGGCGCACACCCAGGCAGTTTTTTGGGTGAAGTCTTTTGGCATAAGAAAATTTAAAAAAATTATAATACGAAATGATGTTATCTTTGATCATTCTCAGGCTGGTTCTGGGTAGAGCCACAGGAAGAAAACAAACTCTTATCCTCAGCTTTATTGGAAACTCTCTGTATGACACAAGCTGTACTTCTCTGGGACTCAACTTCTAGAGGCGTAACATTAAGATTATCCTCAAAGGTCCCTGTGTCTTAGGCCTGGTGCTCCGTGAGTAGGTGGAATGAGCTCTCTGGGTAGTTCTGTGAAGTAACTGTCAGAAGGCAAGAAGAACAGCAGTGCACACACTGAAAACCTGCTTGCCACAATCCACCGCTGACATTCCTGGTTGAGTGTCTAGGGCACTATCCCAACTTTGGTGACAAGGAAGGCACTGAAGTCACAGAATTAGAGTCTAAAAAACGTGGAGAGATAGCTTCTCTAATATGGGGAGCCTTATACTTTTTTCATTTTTTTTTTTGAGACAGAGTTTTCCTGGTTTCCCAGGCTGGAGTGCAGTGGCGCTATCTCAGCTCAACACAACCTCCACTTCCCAGGTTCAAGCGATTCTCCTGCCTCAGCCTCCCAAGTAGCTGGGATTACAGGCATGTGCCACCATTCCCAGCTAATTTTGTATTTTTAATAGAGACGAGGTTTCTCCATGTTGGTCAGGCTGATCTTGAACTCCCAACCTCAGGTGATCCACCCGCCTCAGCCTCTCAAAGTGTTGGGATTACAGGCGTGAGCCACTGTGCCTGGCACTTTTCTTTTTTTTAAATTGTTTAATTTTTTGAGACAGCGTCTCTCTTTGTCCCCCAGGCTGGAGTGCAGTGGCATGAACATGGCTCACATCAGCCTTGACCTCCTGGGCTCAAGTGATCCTCCTGCCTCAGCCCCTCCAAGTAGTTGAGACTACAGGTGCCACCATGCCTGGCTAATTTTTGTATTTTCTGTGGTAGAGACAGGGATTCACCATGTTGCCCAGGCTGGTCTCGAACTCCTGAGCTCCAGTGATCCACCTGCCTCAGCCTCTCAAAGTGCTGAGATTTTTTTCTTGTTTTAGATAGAAAGAGACTCCATGGACCTCATTGTTCAGACATCCAGAAACAGCAGCAGCAGCAGCTATCATTTATTTACCACAAGTGAGTCAAATATTTTGCTAGGCCTTTTATACACATTCTCCAGAATTTTCTGAACAACCTGCAAAGTAGTAATGCACTCATAGATGGAAAACAGGCTCAGGGAAATAAAAAAGGGTGCTCACAATCATTTAACAAGCAAGTGGAAGTGCTGAGATTGAAATCAGGCCTCTTGTGCACACATCCAAGGTACCATGACAGACGTGCACTCATCAGGGGTACAGAAACTCAGGGTAAATCCTGGCCCTGATGCTCATGGTGCAACGGGTGGGTTATGTTCTTCCAAGGGTCAGTAATTTTCTCACCTGAAAAAAGATGACAACAGCTACCTACCTCTTAGGACTGAGCCAAGATTCATGGTACCTGGTATTAAGTTAGTGGATGTTTTCATTCTTATCATGGTTGTTTTGTTTTTTGAGACAAGGTCTTATTCTATCACCTAGGCTGGAGTATAGTGGTACAATCATGGCTCATGATAGCTTTGACCTCTTGAGCTCAAGTGATTGTCCTACCTCAACCTCCCAAGTAGCTGGGACCACATCTGGCTAATTTAAAAAGTTTTTTTGGTAGAGATGGCATCTCCCTATGTTGCCTGGACTGGTCTCGGTCTCCTAGGCTCGAGCAACCCTCCTGCTGTGGCCTCCCAAAGTGCTGGGATAAAGGTGTGAGCCACTGTGCCCAGCTTGTTTTTCCTACTACTGTTGCATCTAAGAATATTCCAAATGAGCCCAGTGTGATTCTAAAATCTTGATGACAGCAGCAGACTCTGGGGTTTCTTATTTTGGCTTTGTGACTAATTCTCTGTAGAGATGATATTGATCAGATTAAAAATTGGCCAGGCTTGCTTTTCTTCATTAGAATGCTTTGTCTTTTCCCCCATGTTGATTTAAGGTTTTAGGCACAGTTATATTTATTTATCAATATTCACTATTGTCCCCTAGCAGCTGACCCATCAAGGACTGAACGGGCGCAAGGTACCTCGGAGCCTGGCTTTATGACTAGTCAAAATTCTACATAGTTATTTCATTCCGGCCTGAGCTTGCTCTGTCCATTGCTTTGGAAACTGATGTGAATTTAGAAGGGCAAGGAAACATAAGCAGAGAGCAACACAAAGGCAAAGCTCATGGCCACTGACGAATACAGTGCTGAAGGTCAGAATGTCAGCTCAGTTATCTGTCAAATGCCTTTCTCCTAAAATACCTATGATGATTGAAAGAGATTTGTTTTTTTGTTTTTTTGTTTTTTTTTTGAGACAGAGTTTCGCTCTTGTTACCCAGGCTGGAGTGCAATGGCGCGATCGCGGCTCACCGCAACCTCCGCCTCCTGGGTTCAGGCAATTCTCCTGCCTCAGCCTCCTGAGTAGCTGGGATTACAGGCACGCACCACCATGCCCAGCTAATTTTTTGTAGTTTTAGTAGAGACGGGGTTTCACCGTGTTGACCAGGATGGTCTCGATCTCTTGACCTCACGATCCACCCGCCTCGTCCTCCCAAAGTGCTGGGATTACAGGCGTGAGCCACCGCGCCCGGCCCATGAATGAGATTTGTTAAAGCACGTTACAAATATAAGGCAGATATAAAGATAAACCTTCCCTGGGTCTCTACAGCGCATGCTTCACTATTTCCTACCACTTGACATCAACCCGAGAAGAGGATTCAAAATGCCACGGAGCAGAAGCTAAATCAAGCCTAAGGATGTGGGAGCGAATGATCAGCGTAGCCACTGGCATTCATTTTCAAATTTTCCTTCTCAGGTTAGGATTTTCGTACCTTATTTTGGGGTATCTTTGATTGGCTTGGCATAATACTGAGCACAAAACACATCTTTTTTTTTTTTTGAACAGAGTCTCCCTGTGTTGCCCAGGCTAGAACGCAGTGGCATGATCTCAGATTACTGCAACCTCTGCCTCCTGGATTTAAGCAATATTCCTGCCTCAGCCTCCTGAGTAGCTGGGATTACAGGCATATGCCACGACGCCCAGCTAATTTTTGTATTTTTAGTAGAGACAGGGTTTTACCATGTTGGCTAGGCTGGTCTTGAACTTCTGACCTTAGGTGATCCGCCTGCCTCAGCCTCCCAAAGTGCTAAGATTACAAGTGTGAGCCACCACGCCCGGTCAAAACATACCTTCTTAACTGAACTGGACTTTCACATCCAAAAGGATGGGATGTGGGGAGCCTGTTTGTGAGGCAATTACTAGGGGAAATGGAAGGAGAGCTGCCACACAGGAAAGGGGCCCATTCAGGAGGAGAAGGAGGGAGATAGGAGGGAAAATAAACCTACAGGGGAGATGGAGACCCACATCTTTCATTAGCCATAACACCACCTCTTCCTTGCTAACACAGACTGACTTTGGAAGCAAGAAGGCAGCATAAGACATAATGCTTTATCAGAGGCAGGAAGCAGTGACTTGAATTAAACAGGTTACTGATATGGTTCATTGACGCATTTGATGTCCTGATCCACCTCTGAGAGAATTTCAGAAAATACACAGCTTTGAGGCTGGACACCATGGTTCATGTCTGTAATCCCAGCACTTTGGGAGGCTGAGGCAGTTGGATTACTAGAGATCAGGAGTTTGAGACCAGCCTGACCAACATGGTGAAATCCCATCTCTACTAGAAATACAAAAATTAGCCGGGCGTGGTGGCCAGCACCTGTGATCCCAGCTACTCCGAAAGCTGAGGCAGGAGAATGCTTGAGCCGGGAGGTGGAGGTTGCAGTGATCTGACATCGCGCCACTGCACTCCAGCCTGGGCGACAGAGAGAGACTCCATTTCAAAAAAAAAAAAAGAGGCCGGGCACAGTGGCTCACACCTATAATCCCAGCACTTTGGGAGGCCGAGGAGGGTGGATCACGAGGTCAGGAGATCAAGACCATCCTGGCAAACATGGTAAAACTCCATCTCTACTAAAATACAAAAAATTAGCTGTGCATGGTGGCGTGTGCCTGTATTCCCAGCTACTCAGGAGGCTGAGGCAGGAGAATTGCTGGAAGCTGAGAGATGGAGGTTGCAGTGAGCCGAGATTGCGCCACTGTACTCCAGCCTGGCAACAGAGTGAGACTCTGTCTCCAAAAAAAGAAAAAAAAGAAAAAAGAAAATACACAGCTCCAGTGCTTGCCTAAAAGCAGTGAGGCCCATACATGTGAAGGCTAGAAATGGGGCCCCAAGAAAAAGTCAACCCCAGTCTCAGGAAAAAAAAGTAGCAAGCTAAAGATGTAATAGGCTGAGCAGCCTCAGGAACTGTGGCTTTAAGAACTCTGATGGCATTGCAGCTTCCCTGTGCTGTCACATATTTTTTCCACTGCTGCTCAGAATGGTTTTCCTCAAGTCACTGGCAATCAAATCTTGAAAATGATGTACCCTCAAGAGCACATAGAAAGTGGGGAACTGGCAGATACCACCACGTTCTGTAGCCAGGCTCAGGGAGAATCACTCCAAGGAACAGAGGCAATAATAGAAACTACCAGAGAGAAAACAGAAAGCAGGCCACGGCTCTGGAGTCTGTGGCAGGAAATAGGAATGAGGCACAGGGTTAGGTCTCAGAAGGGGTCCTGAAGGGCTAAATGAAAAAATGTCAAGGATAGACTCAAAACATCAGGTTTATGTGTAAGTACTTATTCCTAAAATGTTATTGGTGCATGAAAAAATTGCACTGGTCTAAAAATGACTTTTCTTTTTTCTTTTTAGTTTTTAGAGACAAGGTCTTGCTCACGTCACCCAACCTGGTGTAAGGTGATTATAACTCACTGCAGCCTTGAAGTACTGACTCAAGTGAATCTCCCCTCTTCGCCTCCCCAGTAGCTGGAACTATAAGCGTGAGCCACTACACTCGGCTAATTAAAAAAATTTTTTTTTTTTTTTTTTTGGTAGAGACAGGGTCTTGCTCTGTCATACAGGCTAGTCTTGAACTCCTACCCTCAAGTAATCTTCCTGCCTTGGCCTCCCAAAATGCTGAGATTACAGCATGAACCACCTCATCTGGCCTAAAAACCACTTTTGTAAGCAACTTTTAGATGACAGTACTTTACAACAGATCCTGGATCCAGTGCTGACAGTGACAACCTCAAAAGCCCCTAGGTGGAGCTGTTATCCCTTGGTGAAGATTCAAGGATTGCCAACTTAATCCTTTCCAGGATTAATCCTACTTAGCCATACAAAGCCATTTCAACAGTGGTGAAGCCCAAGACCTCCAAGCCTGGGTCTCTATATTACAGGAAAAA